AAATATAAAATTTTGCCAGAAAGAGGGTATAAAAATGCACTGAAATAAACTGTTGAATGTTGAAAGTTGAGACACTTATGCAGCATTGGAAATTTTATTCAGGAAACGTTTCGCCTACAGGGTTATCAGTCCAAAACAAAGGGAAGGGGTAAGGAAGGAGGAGTTGAGGTAAACAGTCCTCACCCGGGTCGATGTGTTCAGTCCATCAAACTTGTAGAATGTCCCTACTCCTCCTTCCCTTTGCCTTCCTCTTTGTATTGGACTGATGAAAAACTGTGTGGCGAAAAAGTTTCCTGAATAAAAAATTCCCATATGCTGATAAGTGTCTCAATCTTCAACTTGTCGGTTTTTCAAACCTTCATCCAATGTTGCAAGTTGCAATAAAAATTTCTGATCAACAAGTCTGCATAAAATTTCTGCACGAAAACTTTAAAGGCAACAATATTTGCAAAGAAATTTTTGCAAAATAGTCAATGTGCAATAAAAAAAAAAAAATATTAACACACAAAAAAAAAAATATATCAAGGGAAAGAACACTTTAAATTTAATGCAACTTAAAAAAACATTAAAAGTAAAAGAGCAAATTACTCTAGAAGAAGAACTTAAAAATTGCATAAAGTGAATTTGTTAATGAAACATAAAAAATTTTGGTGCTAAAACAAGAAAAAAAAAAGGTTTGAAAACTTACAGTGATCGAAACACACTCCAGTGTGCAGAACACAACACTTCAGTGATGGAACACAACACTTACGTGATGCAGAACACAACTTACAGTGATCAGAAACCCCCATTACAGTTTGCAGAAAACCCAACACTTCAGTGATGCGAAACAACACTTACAGTGATGCGAACCAAAAAACTTTCAGTGTGCAGAAAAAACACTTACAGTGATGCAGAACAAACATTACAGTATGCAGAAACAAACATCAACATAACACAATACTAGAATTTTTTTTGCAATGAAAAAGATTGTGAAAAAATTTTTTAAAAATGGTTTTTTTGCTTGCCAAAAAAATGGCACATTGTTTGTGGAATAAGAAAAATTTGCACTGGTAAATGAAAGATTGAACCAAGATGTTCAACACAAAGGGAAAAAAACAAGTATACACAAATGCTGGGAAGGAAAAAATTATAACAGACAACACTGGTTTTTTTTGGGGCAGAATAAAGCTGATAAATTTTCGAATACTTCACTGGGAAAACTGAGAACACTAGGCGTTCTGAAAATGTAAAAAACAAGTTCTATAATGCTCTATGCTGCACACACAGCAAAGGAAAAACACTAAGTACTTACTTCAAGTGCATAAAAAGACACTCAACACAACAGACATAAGATAATGCACGGTAATTAACACTGAATTAAGGAGATTAAAAGATTATTGCTAACAAACACTGAGTCTGATCGAGAGTCACTGAATGTCACTAAGAAAAAAAATCACTGGAAACACAAAAGAAATGTCTCAACACTCGCAAATGTCTCTATGAAAAAAAATATTAATTATCACTGAAACGACTTGGTGTAGAATAAGGTTGATGGTAGTGGAGAGTAGAGGATTGTTTATGTCGTCTTGCTGCTGTCCTCTGCACATGTGATCGTAGAATTGCACTTACGTCGACGATGAACTCACACAGGAGGCTTTTAACGATGGCGCCACTGTCGAAGACACACTCTAGCTCTTGACCCCCTATGTGGTCCTTAAAATATGGTTCTATAACCCTTAATAGTGCACCAAAACACTGGTAGAGGTTGGGTGAGTACCAAAACACAGTGAGAGTGGTTGGGTTTGTGGGTTAACAGGGCTAAGACCGGGCAATGGTGAGACACGTGGTCGTGGGTGGTTGGGCCTATGGGTTGAATGGCGTAAGCATCACTGAGAACAGCCACACTGCCGCGAAGATATTCTAAGCTGGCTAGCTTAAAATACACCCACGAAATACCACAACACCACAAGGATGAAAAAGAGCACTCAGAATGGCTTGGAGCTTAAATCACAAGCGATGAAGACTACTCACGTGTCTTGCTTGAGTACTGGGGTACAACAACTGGGTTAGTTGCTTGCTGGCTTATCTTGACCCTTCACACAGAATGGCTTGACAACCTCACACGATGAGCACAGCAAAGGTGGAAAGCTGGCTTGGCAGCCAAAAGAACTAGATGAAATAGACTAGGCTCGACTGGGCTCCCTCACCACAGACTGGAAGCTGGCTTATTTTGCAAACTCGGGTCAACCCCTCGGGAGTGATGCAAATAAGCAGATAAACACTAATACAAAGAGACTGATCAGTGAATGGTGTAGAAGCTGGTAGGAGCTTGGGAGAGTAGCTGACTTGAGGTAGCAGGCTGGCTAGGTCGGCCTACTGGTGACACGAAATTGCCGTCTTGCTGGTAGAAAGAAATCTCCGTACATCGGCGTAATTATCAATTTTACGCCCACACTGCTGGCACCATTTATCGTAGGGGTTCTTAAATGGAGATATCGAGGGTTGAAGGTAGACACACTTGTTGGATGGTAACATATATTGTCAGACTGTGATGATGAGAAATGGAGCCCAGCCTCTGCCTGTCTTAGCCTGTCTAGGTCTACACGCCGAATGAGACTGGGGCAGAGGTACGAACATACACATGCGCATCGCGTGACGTCACACAAAGTCACAGGCCTAAAAGGGATCTCCTATCTAAAGCACATGGATGATACTAATATGCTATACAACACAGGGATCAGCAACTATGCTGACACTGTGTCCAGCACTTGGTGGTGTACCCCACCTCTCCATTTTTCTGGAGCCTCTTCTGTCTCCTCTGTGAACACTTCTTTGAATCTCTGGTTGAGTTCCTCACATACTTCACGGTCATTTCTTGTTGTCTCTCCTCCTTCCTTCCTTAGCCTGATTACCTGGTCCTTGACTGTTGTTTTCCTCCTGATGTGGCTGTATAACAGCTTCGAGTCAGATTTGGCTTTCGCTGTCATATTGTCGTTGGGCCTCCCTTCTTATCTGTGCATGTTCATTTCTGGCTCTACAACTGTTCTCCTTATTCTCCTGGGTCCTTTGCTTTCTATACTTCTTCCATTCCCTAGCACACTTGGTTTTTGCCTCCCTGCACCTTTGGGTGAACCATGGGCTCATCCTGGCTTTTTCATTATTCATGTTACCCTTGGGTACAAACCTCTCCTCAGCCTCCTTGCACATTGTTGTTACATATTCCATCGTCTCATTTACTGGCTTCCCTGCCAGTTCTCTGTCCCACTGAACCCCGTTCTGGAAGTTCCTCATTCCTGTGTAGTCCCCTTTCTTGTAGTTTGGCTTCATTCGCCATGTCGTTCCTGCTTCTCTCTCATCTTGTAGCTCTACTGTGTATTCGAACCTTAAAACCACATGATCGCTGGTCCCAAGGGGTCTTTCATATGTGATATCCTCAGTATCTGCACTACTCAAGGTGAATACTAGGTCCAGTCTTGCTGGTTCATCCTCTCTTCTCTCTCTCGTGTAGTGTCCCTTACGTGTTGGTACATGAAGTTTTCCAGTACCACCTCCATCATCTTAGTCCTCCATGTATCTTGGCCCCCATGTGGCTCCAAGTTCTCCCAATCGATTTCCTTTTGTTTAAAGTCACCCATGATCAGGGGCTTTGCCCTGTGTGTGTGTGTGTGTGTGTGTGTGTGTGTGTGTGTGTGTGTGTGTGTGTGTGTGTGTGTGGCCTACTTCCTAACCATTAATCTGAAACTGTGTTTTCTAACCATTAATCTAAAACTGTGCTTTCTAACCATTAATCTAACATTGTGTTTCCTAACCATTAATCTAACACTGTGTTTCCTAACCATTAATTTAACACTGTGCTTCCTAACCATTTATTTATTAATTTGAACATGATACAGAGAAGTACAAGGAATACAATTTTTAAAGTGCAGCATGCCAAAGCCCCTTGTATGCAGAGCATTATGGGCAGGCTTAAAATTAACTTAAGATTAACTAAGCAATGATATATTCAGTGGTACAAAAATTATTGTAAACAGATAACAATTTAGTACAAATGAGTATTACAAAGACAGGTCATATGGTCATTTACTGTGATGCTGTGCAATAAGTAGAATGGAGTATTCTGTTGGGTAGTGAAGTTAAATAGTAACAAAGTTTGATTGGGTCACAGGTTGATATTTATGAGATACAGTAATGGGAAACATTTATGAGATACAGTCTGTGAGATACTTATTTAGTATTTATTTAGTTGTGGGTGAGTAAGTGATTTTTGAGAAGAGACTTGAATTTATAAACAGACAGTGTTTCTTTTATATTCACAGGTAATGAATTCCAGATTTTAGGGCCTTTTATGTGCATTGAGTTTTTGCATAGAGTGAGATGGACACGAGGAACATCAAAGAGTGATCTGTGCCTTGTGTTATGGTCATGTGTTCTGTTGAGGTTGGTAAGGAGATGTTTGAGGGGAGGGTTTATATCAGAGTTAAGTGTTCTATGTATGTAGTAGGTCCAGTAATAAGTATGGATGTTTTGTATGGTGAGTAGGTTTAGAGTTTTGAAAATTGGAGGAGTGTGCTGCCTGTAGTGGGAATTTGTTATCATTCTGACTGCAGGATTTTGTTGGGTAATTAGTGGTCTGAGGTGGTTTATTGTTGTTGAGCCCCATGCACAAATTCAATAGGTGAGATAGGGGTAAATAAGTGAGTGATATAGGGCCACGAGGGCTGACTGTGGAACATAGTACCGTATCTTCGATAGTATGCCTACGGTCTTGGAATTTTTTTTTTGAAATTTGTTGTATATGTGTTTGAAATTTGAGTCTATTATCAAGGTGGATTCCTAAGAAATTTCCCTCTGTGAGTTTTGTGATAGGTGATCTGTTTATCATTATGTTAAGAGACACATCTGTAGCTCTGTTAACCATTAATTTAACACTGTTTTCTAACCACCTATTCAATTCTGTGTCCCCCTGTACCCTGAGCCCCACTTAACTGCGATCCAAAACTTGGTATCTTTGAGCACAGGAGACAAGGAAGCACTGGAGCAGTATGAGGTACGGGACCTGATGCCAGGCTCCCTCTACGAGGTGGCTGTGAGAGCCTTCACCAGGGCTGGTCCTGGTCCCCTTTCCTCACCCAGGATAGTCGAGGCTACAAGTTATGATGGTAAGACTCCGTGTGGAGAAATGAAGGTAGTGGTTACATATTTATTAATGAATTCAACACTTGCACGATGGTACCAGAGCAGATGGCTTAGTTCTTGACAAATTATTCAATTTATGTTTATTGATTCCCCATCTCTGCAAATAAACACGTACCGTAATCAGAATATACTGAAAACAAATGACTTTATTTACCAAGAGTATACATTGTATTAGATATTGAATATTACAACTTTTCATACATGATGAAGCCGATAATTATGAAAATATTTCCGGCAGATTTAAGGTAGAAAGAACTCTTAAAATAATTGTGAGAGAAGTTAAGGACATATTACATAACTTGAAGGAAAAGATCACTTGTACATATTTAATCTTAGGTGAAAAGAAAATTAACCATAGGTCGTTTGAATTTGGAAGTGCCTAGAGTTCAGGCACAGTATTTCCCGTTCCCACTCTTCTGGGCAGCTGGCTGTGGCCAGACTTCGCTTGAAGATGTCACTGACCTCCTCTTGTCTGGCATACTTCCTTTCTGGTATATGACAGACGAGACCATGTAGCCTTTAAAATAATCAGCTGATACCCTGCAAATGCACCTATGTTCGGTGAGTATGGGAGCGGCTAGTCGAAGAGCTACATAAATTCGAATGGCCTGAGAGTCGAACCGAATGGCCAAGGAGGAATTAGAAACAACTAATAGAAAATTTCCGGAATGTGGAGGAAAGATTTGTCCTTTCCTGAGGTATTGTTGAGGACTATGTTGGCGATTTTTTCCACGATTAGTTTTTCCCAATGGGACTGTTTGTGCTCTCTGGGAGGAGCTGGTCTGCTTGGAGTTAATTCAAGGCTATCATACTGCGTGGCTGCTACGAGGAACTTTGAGTCCTGAGCACTTATAGCACTTCTCAAGCTTTTGGGGGCAATCTCCTTTACTAGGTCACTGAAAGTCACACACGACGATAGATAGTGCTACCTGCATTGTCTTGCGCGCCCATATACCTCTCAGTAGCACTGGAAGATTTGCTTGGTATCATTGTGATCAGTGCCTTCCTAAAGATAGATTTTAGGAGTGCGTCATATTCATTGAGTGTTGGGTTGTCGAAGTAGGGTGCACACCTCAAGAAGTGAGTTAGTCTTGGCAGAGTTAGACACATGAGCGTCATGAGCATCCAAATCACTTATTCTCTCGCCCATTTTCATTAGGTCTTTGAGTTTGTCCTTGATGACTGTATCGCTGGCCTAATGATCCAGGGGTGCTCCCAGTAGGGTACTTTTGGATTGGGTGGTATATTTGAAGATTCAGGGAGGATTCTTCGCACAGCTGGAATATTTCCTGGTTTGTTGCGATGATTTCACTCTTGAAGAGATTGAGGCTGAGTCCTAAAGCATTTCCTGGGACTTTACCAGTTGCAGGTCTTCTAGCAGGAACCCTTGGGAACCTGCCAGAGTGCCATCAACCAGTAGGTCATTTTCCTGAGCCCCCTCCGATGTGGTGATTTCTTGCTCGCCTAATAAAAGAATTGAAGTTTTGCTGTATCCAGCTGGAGTAAAGGGAGAAAGACTGGGGAAGTGCTCTTGAACAGCTGGTAAATCCATATCTCTTTACACCAAAGGCATTACTAAAGTCAAGTCTGACTAAGGTTTGGTCTTCTGGTAAGTACCTGATATAAGCCCATCTTGCATGGGCTGCTGCTTCACTATCTTGAGAGACCCCAAAGCCCAGTTGGTTTGGCTGGAGTAAGCTGACAGCTTCTGTGCAAATCACTGTAAATAAAGCCTACGAGAAGAGGTTACTAGTCTCCTTTCACCCGACATTTTAGTCGCATCTTACGATAAGCATGGCTTTCAGAGCAAGAATTCTTTTCCACTTCCCCATGGAGATTTTCCCATAATTCAAAATCACGTGTTTCGTGATTTCATTGATATATAGACTGCTCGTGAAGGTTGGTAAACCAAAAAGGATGAGGTTGAAATTAGTCTCTGAGGCTCCAAGACCACAAATATCCTTAAAACATGATAACACGCTCAGTACCGCTGGATGCTTGGTGTTTAAGGATGGTGAACATCAAAATGGTATACAATACCGACAGGTTGTTAGGTAAGACACATATGCAACAGTTAGACAACTTTATTCCGAAACGTTTCGCCTACACAGTAGGCTTCTTCAGTCGAATACAGAAAGTAGGCAGGAACAGTAGAGATGTGAAGACGATGTAATCAGTCCATCACCCTTAAAGTCGTAGAATTTGAGGTTGTCAGTCCCTCGGCCTGGAGGAGTTCAGTTCCATAGTCAGGAACTATCTGAAGATCAAGCGACAGTGCGGAGACTTAAATACTGTCGGAAGGAGAGGTGCAGGGTAGTAGTAGTAGTAGTAGTAGTAGTAGTAGTAGTAGTAGTAGTAGTAGTAGTAGTAGTAGTAGTAGTAGTGAGAGGCCACTGAGAGGTCATGTCCCTCTCAGATCCAACACTTCTCACTTGAAAAGCTTGTCCAAGGTGTTTTCTGTACCAAGATGCCACGTGTTGCAGTGTCTGACAAGATGAACATCAAAATGGTATACAATACCGACAGGTTGTCTAGCCTAGACAGGACTCGCAGCAATGGTTTTAAGTTGGAAAAATTCAGATTCAGGAGGGATATAGGAAAGTTTCTGGTTTTGGGAATAGGTTGTGGATGAGTGGAAAACAAACTCCCAAGTACCGTTATAGAGGCCAGAACGTTGTGTAGCTTTAAAAATAGGTTGGATAAATACATGAGTAGATGTGGGTGGGTGTGAGTTAGACCTGATAGCTTGTGCTAACAGGTCGGTTGCCGTGTTCCTCCCTTAACTCAATGTGACCTGACCTGACTAGGTTGGGTGCATTGGCTTAAGCCCGGTAGGGACTTGGACCTGCCTCGCATGGGCCAGTAGGCCTTCTGCAGTGTTCCTTCGTTCTTATGTTCTTATGTTCTTATGTTCTTATGTTCTTAAGACACATATGCAACAGTTAGACAACTTTATTCCGAAACGTTTCGCCTACACAGTAGGCTTCTTCAGTCGAATACAGAAAGTAGGCAGGAACAGTAGAGATGTGAAGACGATGTAATCAGTCCATCACCCTTAAAGTCATAGAATTTGAGGTTGTCAGTCCCTCGGCCTGGAGAAGTTCAGTTCCATAGTCAGGAACTATCTGAAGATCAAGCGACAGTGCGGAGACTTAAATACTGTCGGAAGGAGAGGTGCAGGGTAGTAGTAGTAGTAGTAGTAGTAGTAGTAGTAGTAGTAGTAGTAGTAGTAGTAGTAGTAGTGAGAGGCCACTGAGAGGTCATGTCCCTCTCAGATCCAACACTTCTCACTTGAAAAGCTTGTCCAAGGTGTTTTCTGTACCAAGATGCCACGTGTTGCAGTGTCTGACAAGATGAACATCAAAATGGTATACAATACCGACAGGTTGTTAGGTAAGACACATATGCAACAGTTAGACAACTTTATTCCGAAACGTTTCGCCTACACAGTAGGCTTCTTCAGTCGAATACAGAAAGTAGGCAGGAACAGTAGAGATGTGAAGACGATGTAATCAGTCCATCACCCTTAAAGTCGTAGAATTTGAGGTTGTCAGTCCTCGGCCTGGAGAAGTTCAGTTCCATAGTCAGGAACTATCTGAAGATCAAGCGACAGTGCGGAGACTTAAATACTGTCGGAAGGAGAGGTGCAGGGTAGTAGTAGTAGTAGTAGTAGTAGTAGTAGTAGTAGTAGTAGTAGTAGTAGTAGTGAGAGGGCCACTGAGAGGTCATGTCCCTCTCAGATCCAACACTTCTCACTTGAAAAGCTTGTCCAAGGTGTTTTCTGTACCAAGATGCCACGTGTTGCAGTGTCTGACAAGATGAACATCAAAATGGTATACAATACCGACAGGTTGTTAGGTAAGACACATATGCAACAGTTAGACAACTTTATTCCGAAACGTTTCGCCTACACAGTAGGCTTCTTCAGTCGAATACAGAAAGTAGGCAGGAACAGTAGAGATGTGAAGACTACTACTACTACTACTACTACTACTACTACTACTACTACTACTACTACTACTACTACCCTGCACCTCTCCTTCCGACAGTATTTAAGTCTCCGCACTGTCGCTTGATCTTCAGATAGTTCCCGACTATGGAACTGAACTTCTCCAGGCCGAGGGACTGACAACCTCAAATTCTACGACTTTAAGGGTGATGGACTGATTACATCGTCTTCACATCTCTACTGTTCCTGCCTACTTTCTGTATTCGACTGAAGAAGCCTACTGTGTAGGCGAAACGTTTCGGAATAAAGTTGTCTAACTGTTGCATATGTGTCTTACCTAACAACCTGTCGGTATTGTATACCATTTTGATGTTCATCTTGTCAGACACTGCAACACGTGGCATCTTGGTACAGAAAACACCTTGGACAAGCTTTTCAAGTGAGAAGTGTTGGATCTGAGAGGGACATGACCTCTCAGTGGCCTCTCACTACTACTATTACTACTACTACTACTACTACTACTACTACTACTACTACTACTACTACTACTACTACCCTGCACCTCTCCTTCCGACAGTATTTAAGTCTCCGCACTGTCGCTTGATCTTCAGATAGTTCCTGACTATGGAACTGAACTTCTCCAGGCCGAGGGACTGACAACCTCAAATTCTACGACTTTAAGGGTGATGGACTGATTACATCGTCTTCACATCTCTACTGTTCCTGCCTTCTTTCTGTATTCGACTGAAGAAGCCTACTGTGTAGGCGAAACGTTTCGGAATAAAGTTGTCTAACTGTTGCATATGTGTCTTACCTAACAACCTGTCGGTATTGTATACCATTTTGATGTTCATCTTGTCAGACACTGCAACACGTGGCATCTTGGTACAGAAAACACCTTGGACAAGCTTTTCAAGTGAGAAGTGTTGGATCTGAGAGGGACATGACCTCTCAGTGGCCTCTCACTACTACTACTACTACTACTACTACTACTACTACTACTACTACTACTAC